AAAATGAGAAGGGGAAAGCAAAATAAGAAAGAAGAAGAAGAAGAAGAAGAAGAAAAAAAAAAACCTTCCAAAACGATGTCGTTTTAGAGGGCGGCAGGGAGGCGCGGAAAGAAAGTGCGACCGAGGATCTGGATTCTCACGCCACCTCGTCCTTTAGCCCAGTTTTCTCCTCATTAATGATTAATAAGTACTTCTTTTTATTTTAAAATATTAGCCATTTTTTAAAAATTAATAACTAAAATAACATGAATTTTTTATTTTGTCTTTTTTTAAAATTCATTAACAACATAAAAATTACAATTATGACAATTTATATTTTCAAAAAAAATATACTACCAAGGGTAATTTTAAAAAATTAATATTTTTAAAGTACAATAATTTTACTACTAAAAAAAAGTTAGATTTCCTAAAAAGAATTATTATTTTGGAATGAATGAGTAATTTTTATAATTATTTAAAGAATAATACTATATGTATTAATTAATGTACATACTAGTGTATCAACTAGTGATGTGACATAATTTTAGAGATATTAAATATTTATAATTTGTATAATAAATAGGGTCATTAATGATATCATAACACTAGTTGATATACTAGTGTATATATTAATTGGTATATACAACACCACTATTATTTAATTTATTAATATCCACCTTGATTTCACAAAAAAAAATTATTTAATAATCTGGTTTGACAAAAATGATGTCATTTGATTTGAAAAGGTAAAAACACTTTGTATTGAGATTAGGCTAAATAATATTTTAAAAAGGTAAAGCTTGGGAGCTCGAATGAGCTCACCCGAATTCCCTGAAAATGAAAATAGAGGGAAACAGAGGGAAAAGAGGGTGAAGGCGAGAGAGAGAGAGAGGGAGAGAAAGAGAGAGGAGAGGAGAGAGGAGAGGAGAGAGGGAAACAGAGAGAGAGGAGGAGAGAAGCTCGGCCGATCGCCGATCGTCGCAGCAGCTCGGCCTCCGCCTCGCCTCCGCCGCGCCTCCGCCCCTGGTTTATGCCCCCTCCTGTCCAGTTCTCCCTTCTCCCGTCCCTTCTTCTTCTTCTTCGTTTCTGATTCAACCCAAAAAAAAAAAAAACAAATGAAAAAACGACGTCGTTTTTTAAATTAGGGGGATTCAGGGGGGTTGATTTGAGGGGGAAAAGAGGGTGAAGGCGAGAGAGAGAGAGGGGGAGAAAGAGAGAGGAGAGGAGAGAGGGAAACAGAGAGAGAGGGGGAGAGAAGCTCGGCCGATCGTCGGCCGATCGCCGATCGTCGCAGCAGCTCGGCCTCCGCCTCGCCTCCGCCGCGCCTCCGCCCTTGGTTTATGCCCCCTCCTGTCCAGTTCTCCCTTCTCCCGTCCCTTCTTCTTCTTCGTTTCTGATTCAACCCAAAAAAAAAAAAAACAAATGAAAAAACGACGTCGTTTTTTAAATTAGGGGGATTCAGGGGGGTTGATTTCGAGCTACGTAGCATTACTCATTTTAAAAATAGCCCCCTCTATATATATTAAGGCTAAGTTTGGCATCTTTAAAAAAAGTTAAAAAATTAAAAAGTCACTATCCTATTTAAGTCACATCATCTTATTTAAGTCACATCACCTCTCTACTACATTACTTCAAACCCAACCCATATTTCATAAAAAGTCAAAAAATACACTTATTTAGAACATCCCAAACAACTTCTAAGCCTCAATTAGGAACATATTTTAATAATTTTTTATTTTTTTAATTAAAATATGAGATAAAAAAATAACAATAGTAGGAACTCTAACAATCTTACTAAACACTCACAAGTTTTGTTAAGATCAATCATCACTTGGTATGGCAACCACATCAACTTGTGAGTGTGTTAGTAAGATTGTTAGTATCCCTAACATTTTTCTAAAACAATTAATATGTTTGAAATGACATTTTGGTTTTTACGAAAAGATGTGCAAATAGAAGAGATTTGTTAAATTTTTTATTTTTGTAATCGGTGGTGCTATATGCACCAATTAATGTACTAACTAATGTACCAACACTAGTTATGACATTATTATTAACTCTATTCATTAATCACATTACAAATACCAAAAACTTCTTAAATTATGTCACATCATCAATTAGTACATTATTTAGTACACTAATTAATGCATATATCATTATTTTTTGTAATAATTTTTAAAATTTTAAACTAAAATGTAATGTTATCCAATGAGACCTAAATATTTTGTCAAATTTAAATGCCGATATCACAGCATGTATGATATGAGATGAACTTGTAAGAGAATTTGAGATTATTTATTATTCTCTGTGTCTCATTTTGTTGATTCATTTTTTCATTTTAATCTGTCCCAAAATATATGTTCACTTTCTATTTTAGGATGCTAATTTGGTTGGATTTCTAAAACTTCCCACTATAAATTATTATAAAGACATTTTAAAATTCAAATAGAAGGGTAGTGGTGAAAAAACATTCTGCTTAGTAAGTTGAATTTTCTTTAATGGACAAACAAATTGGGATGGAGACAGTATAATTTAAATTTGAGGTTATTTATTATTCTCTTCGTCTCATTTTGTTGATTCATTTTTTCATTTTAATCTGTCCCAAAATACATGTTCCCTTTCTATTTTAGGATGCTAAATTTGGTTAAATTTCTAAAATTTCTCACTATAAATTATTATAAACACATTTTAAAATTTAAATAGAAGGGTAATGGTGGAAAAATAGTCTGCTTAATAAATTGAATTTTCTTTAATGGACAAACAAATTGGGACAGAGACAGTATAATTTATAAACACAACCTAAGCATTCGTTTTTCACTTTATTTATTTAACCATTTTTATTGCAAAAGTCATAAACAAAATAAATGTATCATACAAATAAATTAAGGGTTTTGCTAAGAAGTATCTTTGGCACAAGTAAAGAAAAATGTCATAAATTCTAAATAATCTACAAAATTTTCTATCAAACATTTCACATGAATATGAGACTCACACAAATACATGTGTATGGATCTCACACCTATGTGAGAGATTTGGTAAAAAATTTAATATTATTTGGAATCTTTAACATAACTCACAAGTAAAAGACCAAAGAATTGAAGAAAATAAAACATTTTTTACTAAATTTAATACACTTCTATTAAAATTAAGATATTTTTAGTATTATCACATATTTTTAAAAATAATGCTATATGCATTAATTAGTGTACACACTAGTGTACCAACAGATGGTGTAATATAATTTTAGATATTTTAGGTATTTATAATTTGTATAATAATATCATAACACTAATTGATATATTAATGTATACACTAATTAGTACATATAACATCACCGTATTTTTAGAACATTTTTTACCCGTTCTCAACATTAAATAATGTCGTAGGGGACCTGTTAGAATTTGCCATAAATGAAATAAGTAAAAAAGTGGCAGCAAACAACTGAATAGTCCATGATAAGGTTGTAATACGAGGATCGTGGGACCCCAGTTATCCCAATTGTCTCACTCATGGACAACACCTCCCACGTTATTCTCGATCAAAATTACAGTTTTAGGAGTCGGTGGGGGTTTGCCTAAAGTAATTCTGACACTACTCTCTCTCTCTCTCTCTCTCTCTCTACTTTTATCAAGATGTGTGGGTGTGGATCGACAGGTGAGGTCGGTAGCCGAAAGAGACCCAAATTGCCGACGAGAATATGGGTACAGAATTTTGGATGCTACTGCTCCCCTCACTCAGCTTAAGCCATTTGATGTTTGTTTGTTGGCTAATATATATATCTATTCATATATGGGAAGAGAGAATAAATACTCTTTCCTACTTCACTATTTTATGAATTCTTTTTGTTATAATTGATGAGATTTAAAATATAATAAAATTTAAAATGTCCCCCATGATTAATGCAATAAGTGTTACAGTAATAATGAAAAAATATTTATAATAAGAGAACTTCAATAATATTAATTTCATAAGAACTGAAAATCTAAATCAAAATTTTTTTAAGTTTCAAAACAATTTCAAAATAAAAACCTCTAAGCAACAAGAGTGAGGGTAATTTGGTCAAAATTTAAGACATTGAAATGTCAAAAGACAGGAGCTGGAAAGCTATAGCCAAAACTTCTATTTTCATTATGAAAGGTCTTTGTCGAAGAAATCCACACGGAAGACGTTGAAAGTCGTAATAAGACCAAGCAAGTCCAGAATAAATTAAATAGTTAAAAAATTACTTAAAAAATTAAAAAATTAATACTACTCACCAAAAGTCAACAATTACAGCTACACAATTCTCAATTATAATTTTTTCTTACAAACTAATTTTTACAATTTTTTATTACACATTTTTTCATAAAAAGTAAAAAAATTAACTCAAACATCTATATTTTCTTCTTCAATTTTTTAATTCAAAAAAACAAAAAATACACTTATTTAGAACACCCTAAACAACCCCTAAATTAAGTCTAAAATGTTTCTTTATCAAAGTAAATATCTATTTCATGCCAGTCTTTTAATGCTGTATTTGGTTAAGAATTTTTTTTTTAAAAAAAAAATTAAAAAGAAAAGAAAAAAAAGTACATAAAACTATTTAAAATATATATTTTTTATTCACATTTCACTTATTTTTTTTATTTCTCTTTCCAAATCACACCACCAAAAACAATATAAGAGTAAAAAAATAACATTGATTTAAAAAAGAAATTTATAAAAAAAGCCTTAAAAACATATTAAAAAAGGCCCAACTGGTTTTTGCCCAATTCACCTTTAATCACTTACAAATTATGTTATCATATAGAGTAATATTAGGGATATTAAATTTTTTACCAAACAAATAACTAAATATCTCATATGGGTGTGGAGTCCACATGTAAGACATTTGATCATTTATTTGGTAGAAAATTTAGAGTCTATAACATTTTTCTACCATATATATGACCCACAAAATAATTGAATACGGTAAAACGAACCACAAAAAAACAAGTATGCCGCGTACAAAAACGACACAAACACACACACAAAAACAGGGCAACCATAAAAGATCAAGAATTCAATAAATTTCAGTCCCAGGGGCAACCAATTTTACAATCCATCCCAAGCAATATAATAACCTTCAAACATAAAACACAAACCTAAATGCCATATTTTCTAATTTATAAATGTTGATGAACAAAGCAAATATAATATTGATTCATCATCCATTGTCAAGTCACATCTTGGAGTTGCTTCCTCCCCTAGAGAATATTAGCCGTCTCCTTCTGCAGTTCATAATATGTAAGTGTTGCCACTGCATGAGACTCTGATCCGGTCTCAGGCATGGCTTGAATACTATCAGAGAACATGAAGAACCAAAACACTTTCAACAATATGAGAACCTAAAACAAAAAACAAATTCTTCAAGGTCAACCCCTCAAGCGCAGGATACTACTAGCAGGCTAATCATGCAGATTTTTTCCTCCTTCAATTCCTAAGTAATCTGAATCTCCAATTCATCTGAGTCTATTTTGAAAATCACTCCAAGTAATCTAATGATATCCGACACACCAAGAGGTCTGTCTATGTCACCAAAGCTCAACGTCAACACATTTCCTTCTGCCAAAAGTTGACCACAAATGGATAATGATCATTGGTTCTGAGATTCCTATACCGATATTTGGCAGCAAGCAAAGTTCAACAACTTGGATCTTAAATTTGTGTAAGGATATGTGGAGGGAATAGGTAAGCAAATGGAAAAGACAAACATTTAGCTTACACTTACCTTCTCACTTTCTCTTTCTTTTCTTTTCACTCCACAAATCCAAGATCAAACATGCCCTTAGGAAAACAAGTAGGGTTCGAAAGAGAGAACTTCAAAGGTGATTTGCTAGCAAGATTTTGCACGGGTATTAAAAAGAAAAAAAAAGAAAGGGGGGTAGGGTTTTATGGGGGGATTTTACAGGAAGTCTGATGATAAAGGACAATAGAGATTTAGCTAATCCAATGTTACACTTAATCCTCCAAAGGGAAGCAAAAAAAAAAAAAAAAGGGCCCCAAAATATAACCAGGCTTTTAAATTGAAAATTAACAACTCACATGATTGTATGAAATTTCAAGTCTTGTAAGCATTGGCACAAACCGGGAAGTTAAAGATGATAATCAATCTGCTGCAGGGTTCTATACGACAAGTTCATCTTCAAGAAAGTTGTATTCAAAAGTGAATTCAGTCTTGATTCTTTGGCACCTGAGGATCAGTAATAGAATGGCCAGAAGTCATTACAACCACACATACAAGATGCTTTTCCTTTCAGAAACTACACCTTATTTCCATGTCAAGATAAACCCAAAATTCTGTATCTTATATCTAGCTGCTGAACTTTTTTTTAGTAGCAGAAAAAACAGCTCAAACATTGTTAGAAGTCATATCTGAGCAATTTCAAGTTGGAGGCATATGAAGATCATAAGCAAATGTAAAAATGAACATAAACAAAAACAGCAGACAGATCTGATTCTGTAACAACAATGATGACAATTACGAGTCTTCCAATAAAACTCAAGACTCTAAGCTAACAAAAAAATGCAACACCCCTTGAGCCTCAAATATTCATTTTTTGAGCAATATTTAAGGCTCAACTAACTGAATCAATCCATAAAGTAGGTTTTTGTTTTGAGGGATTGAGCCATGGGATTGGACTAATAGTCCATCCGGACTAATAGTCCGTTGTTTGGTTCAAAATTTTTACACCGGACTAATAGTCTAAAATTCAATAAAATTTAAATGTCTCAATTTAAAAAAAAAATAATTTTATTTAATTTTTATTGATGTTTTATTTATTTAATTTTTTATAGACATTTTATTGATGTTTTATTTCAAAATTCTGTTTATATTTTAATTTAATTTCATTATTTAAATTTTAATAGATGTTTTATTTAATTTTATTATTATTATTATTTTAAATAAATTTATTTAAAATTTTAATTAAAAAATAACATATATTTTTATTGATATTTTTATATATTTAATTTATTTAATTTTAAAAAAATAAATTTATTTAATTGTGTAAAAAATAAATTAAATTAAATTTTATTTAATCTAGCTGAAAATAATTAAAATATTAAAGATATGTTTAATATTGCTATTACTTAGTAAATAATTGCAAAGGGTAAAATAGTCATTTGAGCATTTATCTTTCTTCATAATATCCCAAACAAACATAAGATTCATATACTATCAAACCAAATAGTCCTTTCCAGACATCTAATCCCATGATTAAACAAGCATGAGATACAAATCCAGTTAAACCAAATAGTCCGGGGACAATGAATCCCAGAACTTATAGTCCGGTGGATTCCTATCTCCCTTATCCAGTCCGTCCAAACAAATACACCCAAATAGTCTTGCACTTTCAGATATTATAAAATCCCTTTACCCTCTGTATTATGTGAAGAATAATGACTGGTTGTAATATGCAGGTATAAAGACTGGTTGTGATATTTTTCATTTTTTCCCTTGAAAATAATGGCTTTATTGGCAAGACTCAGATATGCCATCTTGAAACTGTTCCCTCTAATCCCAGAGCAAATCAGGGCCCATCACCATGCAACTGCCCACTCAACTGATCCATTCAACCACAACCAAATACCATAACTATCTAGTAGATTTAATTATCACTCTAGTAAACAAAGGTCAAATCCAACTCACACAGCAGATGGGAGATCATGGTCCTAATATTGTCGTTACTTCTGGGGTTAAAATTATAATAAGTGAGACAAAACAAAGATAAGGTTGAATCGTAATAGAGGTAGCAATTGAAAAAATACATCACATGGATAAATTGCTGTTGCAGGGGTGGACACTTGGCATATCAACTTAATTCTTGAAATATCAAATAAGCTGTCCAAAATAAATCAAAATGATCCAGGGGGACACTCCGTAGAATAAATAGAGCAATATGATTTATAAAGAAAACAAAAAAATTCATCCCAAGCTCTTGTGAAATATTAAACTTGATATCATAGATCAATGGAAAGATAGGTGATACAACAGAAAAGGAAATAGGGCAACAGAATAAGCAACAGCATGTAGATGAATCACAAGTAATATGGTTCATAAATGAGGAACCAGATTCATCAACAGTAGCAAAGATTACTCGGGAAAAATGTGGATTACCAAGAAAAGGGGTGGGGGGGGAGAAGGGCAAATACATCGTAGCAAAGGGCATCATTGTTTTCACTTTGCAGATATAAATATCCAATCAATTATCACACATGGCATATTCTAAAAAAATTCCTGGGTGTATTTTGTTTTGATGAAACTGGAGGGCTCAATTCAATCTAAAACTACAGAGTAAGGAGAGATGCTTTCATCTACAATGTCTTCTTAAACAGACCCAAGACATTATTTTGAATACAAGCATGTAACCTTGTAAAACTTGACAGAACAGAAAGAGGTAAGAGGTCAAAAGACACCTCACTGTGAATTGATCTAGAATCAATAAGAAAGTTTAAGAAGACATTGTCCACATAATAAGAGTAAGACATATTTAGTAAAGAAGTGCTTCTACAATAATGAATGCCTGTCAAATTTTTTGCAAAAGAGAAGTAATGATTCGTCATAGAGAGAGAGAGAGAGAGCAAAATCATGTTTATAAAGAGACAACACACAAATGAGATGTCAAAATCAATGTAGTAGTGATACAGCGCATCCTTGTACCACTTGTAAGTATTGTATGTAGTATGATGCATCATATAATACATTAACAAATAAAGGTTGAAAATAGAAAATAAAAATCCTTATATAGAACATAAACATATTTCCCGGACAAAATATTCAGTATCATTTAACCAATCACAAGCTTTTAAAATGACATGATAAAAATTAAAACAGCAAAACACATGCATTAGTCAATAACCAAAGAAGACAATACACGAAATAGATAATATTAAATAAATTAGGATAAATTACATGGACCTCTCCTGAAGTTTTTGACAATTATCGAGACCTCCCTTGTGGTTCCTAAAATTACACTGCTCTCCCTTCTCAGAGTTGTTTAGTAATGACTGTTGATAGAAAATGTACTTTTACACTTTTACCCTTCTACAAATTTACTTACCTCTGTCGTCAAACATTCCTAATCCTAACTACCATTTTTATAATCTCTGGAACCAAACAATAAGCTCCACTTCACCATTATTCATGGCCAACACCACAACATAACACATGGATGAACAACCCCCTCCCACTCTCTAAACCCTCAGATTTCGAAACATGTCATCATCAACCTCTTTCTAAAGTTTGTCTTTCTCAAAAATCTCAGATTTCATCCATGACCAAAGTTTGGATTCACGAGCTCAACTTTCCCTCTACACTCTGATAATATGCATCTAAATCCATACAAGATGTTATGAATCATACAATACATATCAGGTAACATACAACTTTGACATCATTTGTTAGATGAAAGAATCGGGCAAAGCAATCTAGGTCATGGAAAATGGTCTCATAATGTAACCAATAAGCCCGAGTTTCTTTCTCCAGATATACAGTCTAGTTATGATCATTACAAAAACTTTGAATAAAGTACCAGAGTTGAGTAAGCATACCATCCATGTTGCATCTCGTCATTGGTGATATGGAAATCGAAGTAAACATATGTGCCCTGTTCATACTCATCAGTGGTCACCTTAGGCTCTTCATGCCGTTGAAACCATGTGTTGTATTTCCGATGGTATCTCCACGATTGCTTCTTCAACTCCTTTGCAGCCAAATATTGCTGATAAGTATTCTGCAGATAGGGTTAACTTGAGAACAAGATCAAGAAAACTGTGCCATTAAATTATATTGCAAGAAGAAGAAGAAAGTCAATAGAAAGTTCAAACTGCCTGTTGATAGTAAAACGCAAAGAATAGGGTATCGGTGCCATAAGATTCAGCTCCTAATCGTTCCCAAAATGCAGGATTATTGACAATGGGTGCCTGTGATTGAGGATAGCTAGGAGGAGTCGCTGCAGGGTGTCTCTGTATGAAGACAAAACAAAATTAAAATATTTTTTCCCAAATCTTCTGGTCCAACATGATATAGATCAAAAGACTTCCATACCGGATTGTAGCTCTTTGCACGTTCAGAGTCTTTGGGTTGAGGAAGTTTGTAATAAGCAGCCTCAAGCATCTGAAAATTGTATAATTGGTCATGCATTCCCCCTGAATTTGTAGATGATCCACCAAGGTTATCACCAATTGTGCCAAGGTCTGAAACACTTCTTCGACCAATAACACCAAGGCTTCCAGAGGTTTGATTGGATTGCAAAGGCTGACCAGGAGAAAGATCAATATCCCTTGGCACTTGGGCAGACTCTGTCAAAGAGCCAGATGCTCCTGCCTGTATCATACAAGGTTTCACACAACTAAAACAAGGTCAACAAAATAACCAAATCTTCTCTTCTCAACAAATGACCGATTGCATACCATACAACACTGTTCAATTAGCAATTCCATATAATACAAAGAAAAGAAGAAAATAAATATTCAACCCCATTTCTCATCAGTGGAGTAAGTTGTAGATGCAAATTAAATAGTTCTACAAAGTGACCCACCAATAACATCAAGCTCTTAGAAATGTTCTAGCAACAAAAGGCATAATAGGTACAGTCCAAAATAAAGGAAGGTTGCTTTACTCTAGCATGTGGGTGGGAGTATTAAAAATTGCAATATACTTCTTCTCAAGTAGCCCTTCTCCAAGCCTACCCACACACAACCCTAAATCTATGGACTATCCTAATCACTAGATTAAATCAGATTACACTAATTTTCACCCTTCAGCAACTAAAACAAACATACATTTGATGTACAGCACAATGAAGGAAAAATGAAAAACGCAATATACAGCAAGACAGTACAACATCAAACACAAGTTGTCAGTGCTGATAATTATCAGAACACACTGAATGAGGAAAGATGGTTAACATACAGGTGTATCTACTGGAAAAGAAGCTTTCAAATCACCATCATTGATGAGATTCATGCCAAGCCCAGAACTTGGAACAGGTTCAGCGGTTGAATCATCAGATAGATTCTGCTGTTGCTGCGTCTCCTCAAGTTTTGCATGACCGACTTCTGCATCATGTATAATTACACATCTATTACGATGCTTCATAATGTGCTTATTCCAATATGCTCTATATTACCGTATTGATTTTCACTGTATTTCTAAAGAAATCCCTTCTTTATGGTATTACATACTTTGGACACACTTAAATTAAGAATTAGGTTGTCATTTTCAGTTATGCACGCAAGCACACATGCACAGACACAGAGAGCAATATAAACATACTATTTAACCATACCAGCATCATTTGGTCCTGTTGATATCAATGCCTGCTGAGCAGACTGTTGGTGGATCGAATTTGGCTGCTGCTGTGAGGAAGATGCAACAGTGTTAAGACCAGGTGCTTGGACTCCAAGTCCCAACCCAACTTGAGGCAAGACAGGCGAGCCTTGAGAATTGAACTGAAGATAGGATTTAGGTTCATGCAAAGAAAATTTATAGTGGTGAAGCAAACCATGAAAGAATACAGGGTGCTAAAACATTGCTGCTAAATAAACACTATCAAACATAATATGCACATTGAAGAGGACTACCACGGAAGTATATAGGAAAAGGAAATAGATCACTAGAAAAATACAATGACAAGTATATCACTTTAAGCAGATTTGGTAGATATTCACATATCAATAAATTTCTTTCACGTAATAAAACAATGAGACATCCCCTAGGAGACACCCAGTGGCTTTGGCAACATTTCCCCAATAAAGCGACTCAAGTTTGAGTGTAACCTTCCCAATCAAAAAAACAAACAATGAGACAAAAGAAGAGGCGAGAAATGATAAAGAGGGAAGAGGGGGTTATGAAGGGTCCTGCAGCATAAAACATATATTGTCACCAAAATTGGGATATGCTTCCACAGAAGCTTTATAGACCAGAACCAAATTTAAACTTTGAAGGGGCAGCAATAGCTTGGCTGGACAAGGCATATCCACATTGGAAGACTAAAACAAACAAAGTCATTGGCCTCTACACACGGCATGATGCTTTTCTTTTTGGTAAATTGGAGGCCATAGCCTAGGGGAGGGGGAGGGGGAGGGGGAGGGAAACAACAAATCGATATTCAGTAGCAAGACTAGAACCGTTGACCCTTAATCAGGTGCATGGGTTCAGGACCACTAGGCTAACCCCAAGTAGTTAAAAGAAGACTTTTTGGTCCAAAACAAAGGTGTCCATGGCAGTATTTTTGGGTCTTTATTTACATTTAATATAAGTTAGTATGCTGCTAGGATTTTTTAATTTTTTTTTAAGACGAAGGAATTTTGGTAGGGGCATGACTAGTCATGATGGAAAGTCCTATCCGATCCTGGCCTTGGGATTGCGGGTTTAAGTGACTGTAATCAGCTTCTCCACAAAATAATTGGAAAGGCTGATTGCCAAACCCTTCTACAAAAGTAAGACTACCTACCTAGTACCGACTAGGCCTTGTGGTACAACTTTTTAAAGGTATTTTGGTAACTGTTCATTTTACTATACATGAGTTGCAGTGTATACCATGAATCATATATGCTCAAGCAGTGTTTCTGGGTATATGGCTTTTAGTAGATCTAGGATATTCTAATTAGTAAAGGTTTATTAGTTGCTGTTTTGTGAGTTAAAGTCCTTATAGAAATAGGAGAACATAGCAGCCTATAAATATCCATTTTGGAAAACTTGATATTATGTTTGTGAGATTTTGCTTAAGCATTTCTTCTATCTCTTATTCTTCTTGTTCTCCTTCTCTTCATAAGAACTCAAAATAGTATTCCCGGTTTCATATTTACAGTCCCCGTCTCCAAATAAAAAAGTGCTCTTTTCAGCCACAGAAACATAGCAAATCAAGCTGAATCATACCTATCCCCTTCCCCTGCCCACTGGTCTTCAATTTAATCATTAAACTTCAGTTCAAAAACTCATTCACAATAAAAAGATTAAATAAAAATGAGAAGTTCCTAAGGAAATCGACCGACACTATCCCCAAAGCAGAAGATACCAATCCAATTAGAATTGCATAAAATAAAAAAATAAAAAAGGTAAGAGAAAAAAAATTCCACAGATAAAAAAGTTCAAGAAAAGGAGGAATATCAAAGACTCAAAACTTGACCAGTGAGTAGCTCTTACCTGCTGCAAGAGAGAGTTCTGTTGTTGTGCAGAGAATTGCTTATGATTTCCCCCACCAAGAGGAGGCATGCCAAGAAGGTTACTCTGACCTTGTTGCTGCACCTGCTGGAATCGCTGCAAAAACTTCTCTCTCTGATCAGGTGCAATTTCAGTTCTTCCACGGAACTGTCCCTGAAAGTGCATATAAAAAAGTTCCACTGAAACTGAAAGACACCAATCTAATAATATAACAAAAAGAAAATTTAAAATCTATTAGTGAAGTAAAATCATTTAATATAATGCATTAAAAGCTCTAGACACCTCAAGAAATCACGTTTATATGTGATTGATTAACATAAAATAAATTAAAGCTCCACCCAGAGACTTTCTTTTTTTTATTTTATTTGAGAAGTAAAAATTTATTAAGAAATGCCACAAAACACCCTATATACATGCACAACCAACATATACAAAGAAAAAACAAAACAAGACAAGAACTTATCCCTCCTATATATCTACGGATGTACAACTCTCCTAAAAAGTCAACAAAATTGTTTAAAGAGAAAGGAAAGGTCTCCCTAACACACACACACACACAAACACAAAAAAAAAAAAAAGGAAAAGTAAAATGCCTTTTAAACTGGGGGAAAAAATTATATGGAGTGGTGGAAAATATGAAAGTATGAAATGGATTAGTCCGAAAGTGCAGGGATAACTCAAGTATTAAATTTGTGAAGCATAGAAGTTTAACAGTGAAGCACATTATTAGTATAACTCAAGTATTAAATTTGTGAAGCATAGAAGTTTAACAGTGAAGCACATTATTAGTTTTAATACACGTTAAATAGGTGCTCGTTTCAAGTTGAGCAAGGACAAAGACAAGGTAATCGACATCTCTTGGGCTCCTTTTATTGTAAAAGGAATGAACCATAAATAGTGTTTTTTTTTATTTTTTAAATAAAGAACTAGTTCTAAAATTGTAAATATTCTACTCAAATCTCTTCTCCTTAGGACCTCCCTTATCAGTTCTTTAACAACATATACTTTTTTCTCAGTATATTGACAATCATACAGTAGCAGTCTTACTTAACTCTATTAGAAGTGCCATTCTCAGAAAAAATGGATCCAAAAGCCCTTTTAATGAACCAGTTGAAACAACAAATCGATATTCAGTAGCGTGAAGTAAGAAACAATAATTGAGCAGCTCAAAATTAACACATGCAGCAAAGACTATACAAATACACATCTAAGGTTTAATTACTGGCTTTTCCACTCATAAATTTGTCACATGTCACTTAGAAATATCACAATCCAGTGACCACAAAGAAGAACTAAGGCATCGGAATTGAGAAAACAAAGTTACATACCACTTCACTCTGGTTCTGAAAGGAACTTCCAGGCCTCCACTGTATACCAGAAACTACAGAGGGTGAGAAGACCCTGCCAGCCATAACTGCAGCCTCACCAATGTTGCCACCATCAGCTGAGCCGGCCCCATCGTTAGCCTTTGCAGCCTGGGGCATGATCATTCTATTACTTAAAGGGGAAACCAAAGGCTGCACCATGCCACTACTACCAAGTCTCTCATCAGTTCCCAATATATTTCTCTTTGTCATTTCAGAAGCTGAAGGAACAGCACCAAGGGCTCCATTGCTAGGAATTGCACTGCCAGAACTATGAGTTACACTAGTAGGTGGAAGAGTGGTTAGGCCACCTCTAGCAATGCCCCTAAGTCCTGTTTCAGCAAGAGCCGGAGATGATTTTCGACCAGGGAAGCTTGCAGACTCTTCTTCCTTAGCAGAAATAGACAGATTTAAAGAAGATGAAGATGCAGCAGCACCAGCATTTTCTAAGACACCTCGAACAGAACTCGGACCTGGAAGGATCACTGGAGCAGCTGATGCAATAGACAAATTATGAGTTGAAGCATTTACCATACCAGGAGTTGCATGGCTCCCCACTGGTGTTGTTGGAGAAGAAGAACCAATTGGACTATTTTTAGTCGGAGTCCTTGCAACCTGATCAGAAATACTGTCCTGGGAAGCGGTCTCCTCAACTTGCTCCTGGATGGAAGTACCCTGTTGAACAGAAGATGTCACTGTGGCCTGGAAGGCATCAACCAGCACTACATTACGCCATTGCTTACTTTTTTGAACACTTTATATACAGGAAAATGAGACACAGATTTTTAAAGAAAAAGTTTGACACAAGCACATGGGCAGAAATTAGATATAGTACTTGACGCACACTTAATATAGTAAAAATAGCAGTTTTATTTAGAAATCAAGCAGTAAAAGATCAAAGCACAAATGCAGGTACAACAAGAAACCTTTCGTAGGCTGTCCAAGGACAAACTAACCAACCACCAAGGACACTTGAAGAAATCTGATTTAACAGTGTTAGAGAGCTTGATATGTATTTTGTTGGTCCCATATTCTATCAGATTAACCTTTCAAGCAATTGGTGACTAAAATGGTATTGTTTCCCCTTTAAAAATTTGATTTTAGCTTAAAAGAAGAATTTAAACCCAGCTTTCAAAAAGAGCTTTTTTTAGTTTATTTTGAGTTTTATAACCTAAGAAACAAATAAGCGAAAAGCTTGAAAAGTGGAACCAAACGCACTTATTGTACACTATATTTTGTGTGTATTTGTGCATCATGTTCATTTCAATCTGTCCCTCCATGCATGAGTCAAGGTTGCTTGTGAAGGAGAGTATATGATAAGTTTGACATACATTGTTGGGCCGATTTTCTGTCACCTTAAGTTTTTGAGACAACATATGATCTAACAACACAATTCCATGTTCAAGAATCTCAACACTAACAACACTCCCAAGGATATATGTCAAACACCTGTTTGCCATGCCTACTGTTTTAAGAGAAGAAACGATTCATGTACTTGTGCATCATGTTCATTTCAGTCAATCCATGTGTGAGACGGTTGGATGTGAAGGAGACTATTAAATAGTTTGATATAATACATTGTTGGCCGAATTTCCTATCAGCTTTAGTTTTTGGGACAACATATGATCTAACAACACAATTCGATGTTCAAGAACCCCAAAACTAACAACACTCCCAAGGATATGTCCAACACCTATTTCCATGTCCACTGTTTCAAAAGAAGTAATTCATATACAAGACTTGGATGAAACTTCTCAAATACTACCCAACACATGACAAGCACAAACACGTGATTGATTCTTATACTTCTGTTACCAGCCCATGCAGATGAGTCTTCTAGAAATAAGTCTCAGGCTTAATTTGTTGCATCATTGGACCAATCTAGTTTAACTCCTTAACAGCTTCATTCCTCGGCTACAAAACTCCATCTAACAAAGTAGCTAGCTCTTCTACTTAAGTTGTCAAAGAAGATGATACTCGTCAATGGGCCTCTTTGATGTAGCTTTTTGTAAGCTAAACCTAAAAGTTAATAATTAAAAAGCAGAAGCCAAAAGCATCCATTTGCCAACTTCAAGATAATCACCTTTTCTTTTAATTTATTTAAGCTATTTCTACCTAATAAGTGATAAATAAAGGCTGCACCAAACAGTTTGGCACGGATTTCTAAAATAAATACAAGAATAAAAGCTATACGAAGCTCATATAAGCTGCACCAAACAGCCCCAATGTGGCATGAGTACGAAACATTTCTCAAACATTTAATGTAAGAAAATGTTATTCGTTGTGGGGTTCAATTGGGGTTGCGACAGAAGCATTTGCGTATTATTCATCAAATAAAACTTTGATCCAAACTGGAAGGATACATCTATGTCCAAATTGGAAAGATCTCATAAACAGTTCTTTTCAACTAAATATTGTAAATCCAAGTTGAATTCTTCTTTCCTAAAGGATACAGAAACACATACAGGTGGTTGAGCTGGTGGTGCTGTCAAAGAAGTTTTTACGCTTAAAACTGCACTGGTGGTACCAACACCCTGCCAAAAAGCATAAACCATGAGAAGTTTCTACTCATCTTGCATGGCATATCGCATGTTTTTATTGACAAGAATACGAGAACAGAAACTTAAAATAGTGAACAGATATTCCACATGAACCCAAAGTTCACATGGACAATCCAGAAATAATACACGAAGAACGTTCATAAAAAACTTAACCTTGTCAATGTGAGTAGTCAGCTACAATAAGTACTGAAGGAAATCCAACTTCCATTCGTGTTTCAATTGCAGTCACACAGTTTTTAAATGTAAATGCAAAACACGATGTGTTTCACCCCTCACAAGGTGAGACGTAAGCCTCAAGAGGTTGAGGCGTAAGCATTTTGAATTTTTATATTTAGTAAATAAATAAAATATTTTAAAATCAAAAAAAAATATTACTAATTAAAAATAAGGTATAAATACATTTCTTCTCAAGACGTCAAACATTTCAGTGCAAAGAAGAAAGCTTGCCCTCATCGAAGGTGAAAACGACATTCTTAGTTTCAATTATTGAGCTTCCTACTTAAGCCTTAGCTTTGTATGTATTCTTAGTTGGTCATTCACTTTTTTTCCCACAAAGAATATAGTTACAAAAGGGGATCTTTTTTTATTTTTTTATTTTTTAAAGTTAAATGTTAAACCATGTATTAGACTATGTTTAACAAAAACCATAAAACTCACTTTCCATATACGTACTCGTATGTTTATGTGCAAAAGACGTATAAGGCTCACGCTTCAGACTGTGATGCGTAAGCCTTTGGGATTGTCGCCACAAATCAAAGCCTTTGTGCATGCAAAAGGCGTATAAGGCTCAGACTGTGATGCGTAAGCCTTTGAGAGCGTTGCCAAAAAATCAAAACCTTGGTGCGTTTTGTATTAGCCTCAATAAAGCCTTCTCATTCTTCCTCTGTTGCTGTCTCTTTTTCTTCTCAGCTGAGAATGTCTTCCTTGCTTTCTCCATTTCTTCATTGTTTCTCTGCTATTCATTATTTCCTATACCCCTGCTGGTTGTTCTTTCTTGTGCGTGCTGCTACTGCTGGTTCTCTTCAAGACCTGTTTCCCCTTATTGCTTGGTGACACAATAGGTTTGAATATCGGCTTTAGTTTCATGTAATAGACATTTTGTTTGTTACTTAACAGTGGCAAATTAAGTTCTACAAGTGGTTTACTCCCATAACATATTTGCTTATTATATGGTTGTTTATTGCTTACTGAGTTCTTGTTATCTATTTGGGATACTGAACTAGTTAGCTTTTGAAAGTTTGGGGCCGATTCTATAAAGTTTTCTGCTTGTTTATTCACATTGCATGTTTTAAACTTTGGACTACTTCAGAATCCAGGTGCACTAACACAACATATCATGTCTAATAGTTTTGATTCTTTTTCAAGCAGTAACCTACATAGATTTAATTTAATTTACAAGAAATGCCAGACAGCCACTGGAATGCTCTGGTCACAGCAAAGTTGAGTGGGAAAGCAGCAGGTTAAGCAACGCATCATGGTTAGTAACTAGCACATTACTATATTGAGTTTTCTTATGTTTCAAGAATTACATGCTCAGTCATGGCTCTGATTTACCATGTCAAAGTTTCTCCAAGCAATCAGAAGAACGAATATAGGGTTGAAATTTATTTTACGTATAAGACAAAATTAAACAGCCTTTTCTTCAGCAAGTTACAAGCTAAACAACATATGCATTTAACAAACATATAACTATGGCAAAACCAACCTATTACATTGAAACGTATAAAAGATCCTTTCACAATCAACAGCTGTCCAATCTTTCATACAAACACTGGAAGTGTAAAATTGGTTTTTAATTTTCTCTTTTTTTGGTTTTAACCCAAAAGAGGGTTTGCATTTCCAAATAGAAATGATATGCAGAAAACTATTATGTCATATGGCAGAAAAAATTCACCTTAGCAAGACCAGGAGGCACAATTGCTACAAGATCTTCAAGAGACTCCACCTTGTCTAATGGCAAAGTGTTGTAAAGTTCATCAACATCACTAAATTCATCAAAGAACTCCTATAAATTAAATTAACAAAGTAAATAAGACGATAAATAAAATGGCAGGTAAATAATAAGATGGAGGAAAAACTATGACAGTAAAAAATAAATCAAATTGAATGAGGTAAACCTGATTACGCTCCACATAGTCATCCAAGAAATCTTTAACATCATTGACCTGCTCGGGACTTAGTTCATCATTATCCAATAGCCTTAAAATCAATTCTAACTTCATTATATGAGCCTTGTGTCGGGTAATGGATGCCTCTAAATGTGTCTGTAAAGCAAAGATCAAATCATCAGTTAAAACAAAAGGCAATGTATAACCATTTGCATGATCATATTGTGTTTCTTTTGTCCTACCAATCTGGGAGGCCTTGTTTTCCCTTTCTTAACAGAGAGACCTTCAATCTCCGCTTCAAAGCTATCAATTTGAGATTCCAACTCTCCCACCTACTCAGGGATATACAATAAGTTACACATTTGTTGGCAGTGATCATGTAAGCTAAACATATAAAACGCTGCATGTAGCATGAATAACCACCACTTATTCCAGAAACAAGTAAAATGAAAGAGAAGCATGATAGATGATTTCTATTGCCAATCTGTCAGAGGAACTTGAAGTGATTAAAAAAACAATGCACTAACCACAGCAATTTTAGGGGGTGTGGGTGTGGGTGTGGGTGTGGGTTTGGGTTGTGTGGGTGTGCATGAAGGGGTGTGTATGATTTGAACAATAGAGTTGGTTCAATACCACATTGTTCAACCAATCTCTTGTCTCTGATTTAGCCTTCTCCTTTGGATCCTATTACAAGATGAAAGAAAAAGGAAATTTAATTAAATATAAGAAATATCAAACTAGGTGTCAAAGCTATATATCAGAGTTTCAAACATATAGTCCATAGGAATAAAATTACAGCAGTAAACAAGCAGACAAGATTTAAGGCAAAAAAAAAATTAAAATATTGCAGTAGAAATCTGTATAAGTATCCTACTCCTTTGATATTAAATAAAATAAGGAAAAGTAAGGAGAAAGAAACACTAGCATTCAACTGTGAGAAATCTTTCCATAAATTAGCATTGCTACAAAGAAGGTGATGAGTGCAAAACATCAAATTCATGCATTGATTATGTATTTAATACCTTTTTTTAATAGTTTACAATTGCCATCAGCACTCAGCATACTTGCCTCAGTATCAAATTGGAAAGATAAATGTTCAAAACTTACTGTCTTAGGTTGTTGGCCCAGGCCTTCCTTGGAGAAAGCTTTTGTCTTAGTTTCCTTTTCACATATCTTAAACCTTTCCATTTCACGCTCAATGAGCTTGCGAGAATCCATCAGAGCCTGCTCATAAGAGGCACTAACCTATGTCAACATATATCAAAGAAGATTTATTGTCAACTTCGGAATCAAGAAGTACACATTAAAAAAACAATATTAACATTTATACAACATCAATCAGGTCATAAATAACTCTAGAAGAACCTGATAAAATCAACACTGGAAACTAAATGAACTACGTGAGCAATAAAATATTATTGTGCTAAAAAGCAAATAAAAAGACCATATGCAGGCACACAAAATATTCTAAGTCAGTACTAAAATCAGAAAGATACCATCCATCAAATCAGTGATTAGGATCGAGAACAAGAAAGAAATAAAATTGCATATGCCAGAAGCATGAGTCTTCTCCACGCTACAGAGTTCATTAGTTTTTGCTACACACAAACTCAGTGATAAATATAGAACTATAATCAACTGAAATAATGGAATCTTTTTTTCTACTTTTTTTTTTTTTTTTTTTTTTTTTTTTTGTGGTTAATTTATTACTTCATTCATCATCTTTATTACCTTCCTCTTGATTGATCAGAGTTCACACATGGTAGTGGATTATGAATAGCGTAATGAAGTCTAGTGCAGCATCCAGTGGTCCGAAGAAAATATTTGTACATAATTTGATTGCCTATGGGTTGTGCCCCCTCGGCACGTTCTTTAATACAATTCTATTTGTCAGCAATCATAAAAGAGGGGGAAATTTGTACGTTGTTTCATCTGATTTAGATATGATTACGAACCACAACATCCCTTTCCAATTAAACGACTAATCCCTATGATTCTTGGCTTTATAACTTTCCAATATTATTGGCGGTGGAATATCGTGATGAATGTCTTTCCATTTACACATATTCAATGAATGGTCCCAACCCTCATCTATTTAAGCAATGCAAGTGTAACACTCTGTTTGGATCATTTGATGGAAAAGAAAATAAATTATTCTGGTTTCACATTTAGGTGAGAAGATAAAAATTAAAAGGAAAGAAAGAAATATTGTATTTTCTCACTATCATGTTTGAATGAATAAGAAAGCAAAGTATGTGATATAGAGATAAGGGTGGGATTTTTTTATCTTTCTTTGTATTTTAATGGACAATCACGGTATTATAAAAATATACAACCAATCATTCTATTTCTCACCATTTTGGTGAGAAGTGAAACTTATAAAATAAGAGACTTCTCTTTCTCTCGGTCTCTCATGATTTCTCATTATTTTTTACAATTTCTCACCTAAATTATAAACCAAACCTGATAAAAGAGTTCTCTTTCTCTTCCTTTCATATCAGTTGTCACCAACTCACACAATTCAAACGAATTGTAAAGGAATTCACCGTAAAAAATTGCTATGCACAAAATGAAATGGAGAGGGTTGAAGATCTATTTGGAAGAAGCTAGTTGGATTGTTGGATGTGTCACTGTGAGTGGTGTGCAACCTGGCAACTAGGGGTGTAGCCAGAAGAGGCTAGAATGCAAATCATTCCGCTAAGAGGAACATCAGCGGTAAAGTGGTACAATAAGGATAGACTTTTTAATTTGACATTGGATTTAGTAGAGAGTATTTTTCTTCATACTAATCGTTCAACAACAAAGTTCTATGAAAAGTATGACCATTTTTTTACATTTTGTCAATCCAAAACTCTCCTCATCTAAACTTTAGTTCATTATATTTGACTTTTTCCTTATTACCAATAACTTATAATAGAGAGCATAGAAAATTTATGGAATCGTTTTGGATTGCTAAATTTACCGTTTTAAAACGAAAGTGTACCATATTTCAGAACATGCATCCCAAAACGTAAATCTTATCATTTTCTGGTAACACTGGCCAAAGCCACTGCACCGTAAACTTTCATTGTGAATGTCCCATTATGAAAAGACCCAAATAAATACATTATATTTCACATATACTTGCACATACATGAATGCATAAAGTGGCATGCCCATATAATAAGGCCTATATGCTATTAACCAATCAACAACACCCGGTGCATAGAGCAGCAATAGAAAACAGTAGGACCAGTGCAGCATGGAGCAACCACAAAGCACAGCGAGACAAGCAGGTTTTGGAAGGCCATGAAATTTTTTGGGAGGACAGCGACAGCCCCTACATACGCAGTGCAGTCTCAAAATATTTGACTGGTATTGATAACTCTTACCTTTTGTGCATTAATTAATTAATCCATGAGATGAGAATATGTTTATCATTTATAAAAAATAAATTTTTTTTTTCCTATCGTGATCTCTCTAAATTCCCCAAGTAGTTGAGAAAAAATCTTATATATGCAGAAAAAAACATGTAGTTAACCAAGAAAGTGAAAGAAAAAAGCAGGGACTGACCTTCTTATCCTTGATCTCACTGGACTGAATCCATGTTTTGATCTGATCTCTGTACCTCTGGAGTTTCTTGATCTCCTTCTTCAAATCGGCCTCGAACTTCTCCTTCTGATTCGCATTGTCTGTGTCATAAACCTGAAGTAATAAATAAAAAGAAGAGTAATTAATAGACAAAATTTAATGATATGCGGTTGTTAAGAAAATGAATAAGAAAAGAAAGAAACAATTGAAACATCGAAAGCATAAGGAGACCTTGTTCCAGATGCTATCAAAAACATCGACGCCCTCTTGAACTTTCTTCAGAACACGATCGATTTCACCCTGTAGTTTTCGACTAGCTCCCATTGTAAAACTGAAGAGGAGGATGCAGAATGGAGTAGATTGGTTGGATTAATCATCCAAAACCCTATCGGGTTCAACCAATTTTTCAATTTTACACGAGGGTTGCGATTGTGTTTGCAGAGTATTAAGACTTCGTGCGTCTCTGTGGAGTTTGTTTGTAGGGTTTTCCTTTCGTTGGACGATCTGCCTTTTTGTCTTCGGCTTCGGCACGCAGAGAGATGGGGATAGAGATGGGAAGAGAGATTGATTCATGATTTCCACAAGAAGGCTGCGGGCTTGGGCTTTAAACAGCTAATGTTCCCTCACCAATGATAACTTGGGCTTCTAACTTCTCTCTTCTTTTAGTCCCAAAAATAAAAAAATAATAATAAAAAAAAAACTTCCCTCTTCTTTTCTTTTCTCATTTTTTTATTTATTTATTTTTATCTTTTAGCCCAACTTTTTTTTTTGGGCAAATTACATATACACCACTCGAGGTTTGGCTAAATTACAGATACCCCCTGAGGTTTCGAAAATTACATCCCGCCCCCTGAGGTTTGTATTTTCATAACAATTTGCCCCCTGAGGTTTATATTTCATAACAAATTACCCCCTAATTTCTTATGCAAATATAGCATTCAGGGGGGAATTCGTAATTTCTCAAACCTCAGGGGGACATCTGTAATTTAGCCAAACCTCGAGGGGTGTATATGTAATTTGCCCTTTTTTTTTTTTAATCTTTTAATTTCATATCTAGAATATCAATTTCATCTATTTAATTTTTAAGCTCCAAATTTTAGTTTATGGAATCTAATTGAAGAAAATAGTACAAATCAATAACCCTTAATACATAATTTGATAGTCAAACATATAATTTCAAAATTTAATCATACAACTAAAATACCCATCAAATTGATTTTAAGGTGTAATTTGTTCAAAATAATAAAAATAAAATAATGTTTCGTTGTATAGTTTCAATTATTTATATTTTAAAATAACATTTTTGCTTATTAAATCAAGCTTCAACAATTGCTAATTTGTACACCATCATCTCTAATTATACCATATATAAAGTACAAAATAAGAAGAAGAATAACTCAATAAATGAATTTTATAATTTATGGATGAAACATAAAAAAAATAATGATAGTTTATGAGATAAATGTCAAACTAAACCATATTTTGTATAAATTATATTATTTATAACTAAATATTCTTAAACATTTTACATATCTCACAAACGTCCTTAACATTTGAAAGTTGTAACAGTAAGATTCACGAATATTATCAACAGTAAGAGGGGAGTTTGCGCCAAGCAAACGTGCCGAGCTAGTTGTGACTTGGGCCTTGCTGTTGGATTATGCAACCGAGTTGGCATAGCCGAGGGTAGTTTGGCCAAGATTCTAGATCACGCGGCTGAGTTAGCTCGAGGTTCAAAAGTTGGACTGAGTTAGTTGTTCGGCGTGGATCATTAGCTGAGCTAAGTGAAGCAATGGTCCAAGGCTGAGTAAGGTCAGGGGGGACGAATGGGTACGGCTAAAGAAGTCGGCTAGACACCTCAGATTTTGGCCGGTCGAGAGTAATGCGGTTCCAAAGGGCGGATTGTAGCGCCATGCAAGAAGTAACTCGGTAGGATTTGCTGCGTGGCCTAATCGGAATATAAGAAGAGGAATCCACTAAAGTTGTGCATTAATGCTGTTTTGCAGTTTGGCCAAATATTGTTTAGCAGTATTTGACGCGTACATGTGTAAGGAATAGAGAGGGCATACAGCCACGCGTCCAGAAAATGACAAGTAGAGTGGTGCGCACAGAAGCTATTTAAACTATGCGGCACCTCTATACAACAAGTCTGGAACATCTAGTTATCAGAGCTAGCTACCATTTTCTCTTTTTCTCTCTCTCTCTCTCTCTCTTCTTCTCTTTAAGTATGCTAACTTGACCATCGGAGGGGTTTTATGGCGGTTTAAGTGTGCTAACTTGACCATCGGAGGGGTTTTATGGCTGCACACCGCCAGGTAGCTCACTATCTTGGTGTTCTCAAGTTACTCAGAAATAAACAAAACTTGGACACGAGGAGTACGGAAAGCGATAAATATTTGTTCCCCGTACAATTGGCGGCGTTTGTAGGAATTCGACAGACAAAACCTTATCCTTCAAGCTTTTCCGATTATCTTTTATGGCGAACAACAACGACATTCCGTTGTTCACCATCGACGGTATCACGCCAGAGTTTGTTCGGCGCAGAAATGGCCTATCCGCCATTCCGACGATGGCTGGTTTGGAGACCTCCGCGCGAGGACTTCCTAAAGATGCGTGAGACAAGCGTTTAAGTGTGCTAACTTGACCATCGGAGGGGTTTTATGGCTGCACACCGCCAGGTAGCTCACTATCTTGGTGTTCTCAAGTTACTCAGAAATAAACAAAACTTGGACACGAGGAGTACGGAAAGCGATAAATATTTGTTCCCCGTACAATTGGCGGCGTTTGTAGGAATTCGATAGACAAAACCTTATCCTTCAAGCTTTTCCGATTATCTTTTATGGCGAACAACAACGACATTCCATTGTTCACCATCGACGGTATCACGCCAGAGTTTGTTCGGCGCAGAAATGGCCTGTCCGCCATTCCGACGATGGCTGGTTTGGAGACCTCCGCGCGAGGACTTCCTAAAGATGCGCGAGACAAGCGTGCAGGAGCCCGGAATGCCTAAGGGGTCCTAAAGTGCGACAATAACGTAAAGGGTCACACACTCAGCACTTGGAAGACAAGTTAAGAGACCAAGATACCATCATCAAGAAGATGGTGACAGAGATGGAGGCCATGAAACACCAAATGAAGAAAAATGGCGTCGCTGGAGTGGAGAACCACAGTGAGCACGCCCATTCTCATTGTTCCGACGATTAGAATAGACGGCGCACCCCTTTACTCTCCATCACGAGAAACTTCAGAGCTGGAGACTACGTCGTGCCAGCGGCGACATCTCGTACGCAAGATAGCAGTTACCACCCCTTACGTCCGATGACGGCATCGAGATATTCATGCTCCGACCTTTCAAAAGACCTGAGAGAGTGTTGGAGGAGCGCGCTTACCGACAGAAAAGGCTGAAAGTGCCTGCACTGTAGCGGTTGGCCCCTAAAGGGCGAGCCAGTAAAAATATTGCCATGCCACCACCACGCTTGGCAACATACGCGCCACCAGACAGAGAGTTGGCAAAGCTGAGCGATGCCCCATTTTCCATAGAGATCGAGAACGCATCGCTCCCCTCCAAGTTCCATCATCCAAAGTTCACGCTTTATAACGGAAAGATCGATCCGTACATGCACGTAAGCCACTTTTGGCAGGTTATGGCTAGGCACATGCGAAACAATGCGCTCATCGAGTTTAGGCGAGTTGGGCCTGAAATGGTTCGAGAGGCTGCCAAAGGAAAGTATCGAGAGATGGCAGCGATTGGAGAAGGCATTCGTGACACGATTCAAGACCAACACCAAAACACCTAAAGAAGTCGACCACCTTTTAGGAATCAAGATAGAACCAAGCGATTCACTGAAGGTGTACAATGCCAAGTATTGGGAGACATTCAATGAGATTCTTGATTGCCCCGATGAACCTAGCAATCACTTAGTATAAACACGATCTTCTAATAGAACATAGACTGAGAGACTCGCTCACAATGAATCAACTGTTGGCTATGGAATTGCTCATGCAACACATTAATGAGCACATTCGAGTTGAAGATGATGTAGTTGCAGCTACTGTGAAGGCAAGTCCGTTAGTAGAGGACAAGAGAGTAGCGAAAAAAGATTTAAGCAGTCAAACAAGAGGATGGTCGTGCAAATAACCATGGAAAAAATCTAGGGAGTTTGATTTTGGAAAACGTCAGTAAGAAGGCAAAGGAAAAGGGGCATAAAACTCGTAAAATATAAATGACCGATCTTTTTCCGAAATGTCGAATACTACCAATATGAAGTTTTATTCTTAGTTTTACTTTTGTAACCCTTTCTACTATTGACGTAATGAAACAAGTAGACCGTTTTTTGAGAAATGTTGTATTTTCGTCCCACCAAGCAAATTTAGAGCGGTCTAAAGGGCAACTGACTATCATTTTGACGGAAAGATCAAAATTCTTTGTCGGGTGGATTTTGCTTGGCTAGAGGTTTGTTGATGGTTTTAATCAACTTTGGAATTCCTTGCTGAAATGGATTTTGCTCGGCAAGAGGTTTGTTGATGGTTTTGATCAATTTTGGAATTCCTTACTGAGCAGATTTTGTTTGGCAAGAGGTTTGTTAATGGTTTTGATCAACTTTAGAATTCTTTTCCAGGCGAATTTTGCTCGGTAAGAGGTTTGTTGATGGTTTTGATCAACTTTAGAATTCCTTACTGAGCTAATTTTATTTGCCAATAAGTCTTGTCGAGCTGATTTTGCTCGTCAAGAAACAAGTTGCCAAGCTAGCCTTGCTCGCTAACTTTGAAGTTCCTCACCAAGTTGATTTTGCTCGCCAAGAAACAAGTTACTGAGCTGACCTTGCCCGCTAACTTTGGAGTTCATTACCGAAATCGATTTTGCTCGCCAAGAAGCAAGTTGCCGAGCTGATCTTGCTCACCAACTTTGGAGTTCGTTGTTGAGCTGATTTTGCTTGCCAAGAAGCAAGTTACTGAGCTGACTTTGCTCACCAATGTTGGAGTTCCTTGCCGAGCTAACCTTGCTCGCTCGCCAATGTTGAAATCCCTTGCCGAGCTGATTTTGCTCGCCAAGAAGTAAGTTGCTGAGCTAACCTCGCTCGCCAACTTTTGAGTTTCTTGCCGAGCTGATTTTGCTCGCCAAGAAGCAAGTTGTTGAGCTGACTTTGCTCGCTAACTTTGAAGTTCCTTGCTGAGATGATTTTGCTCGCTAAGAAGTAAGTTGCCGAGCTGACCTTGCTCGCCAACTTTGAAGTTCCTTGCCGAGCAAATTTTGCTCTCTAAGAAACAAGTTGCCGAGCTGACTTTGCTCGCTAACTTTGAAGTTTCTAAACCGAGCTGAAGTTGAGTAATCTCAATCATGTTACAACATAAGGGATTTAAGGCCAACGACTGAGCAAAGCGAACCACCGAGCAAAGAGTCTAGCTCAGCTTAGTAATGTAATTTCGGTCACGTGAATGTGGACGGAATTAAGGGGCAATTGAGAGGGGAGTTTACGCCAAGCAAACAGGTCGAGCTAGTTCTGACTTGGGACTTGTTGTTGGATTATGCGACCGAGTTGGCATAGCCAATGGTAGTTTGGCCGAGGTTCTAGATTACGCGGC